CTGTATATAGTAGACCTGATTAGATCAGGTGTAATAGAATCAAATATGATTGGATGGAACTCAGTTTGTGGGGAAGGACCTGAGTATAGTGCAGATGGAGAAATGGGTTGACTGGGAGGGTGTTTGTCCAGAAGAATCTCTTTAACAGATCTGCCATTCATGAGGGAGTCTAGTGAAAGCACCCTACCATTTTCATTATCAGAGAGAAGACGTATAGCACCTTTAACATCTCCCACAAAGACTAGATTACTGAATTTACGTGCTAGGTTATCAGATGAATTAGATGATGAGCGATGAGACTTGAGACGAGATTGTATAGATCTAGCTTCACTTAGAAGTGAGAAAAAATCACCATTCTTCCATAAGGAAAGACGGCGTTCTAAGTGTTTAGTGATCTCTTTATGTTTTAGTTTACCAGTAGGTCTCTGAAGGAGTAGATGAGGCATTGTCATTGCAGCATATAGAGCAATTGACTCTAAACTGGAAGAGGTAGCATAGGCATTAAATAGATTAGCCAGCTCACTGACAAAGGCATCACCAGTCTTTCCAATAGGAACTCTAAAGAGATTCCTCTTCCAATGAACAACCTCTTTATAGCAAGTTGTTAATTGGGTAGAAGTGACATTACCATCATTTTCCCCCCACACAAAAGTAGGATCAGGCAGGAGAGGGAAATCAGGAAGGGAACTAGTTGACTGTGGTGAGTTAGTAGAGGAAGATGGAACTATGATAGGCTCTTGAGGGCTACCGAGATTGTTTGTTGTTATACTTGAAGTGGGGTGACTAACAATAACAGAGTGGTCAGAATTGAGTGGGTTTGTGGTAGATAGAGGATGAATAGAAGTGTCAACAGCTAGATTGATAGGACTAGAAGAAGAAAGATTTGAATTTAGAGAAGAACGAGTAGCAGCTGGGGTTACCATAGAGCTATTGGTTGAGTTAGAGTTATCACAGTGATCTTCCATAAGTGGAATACAATTAGAGCATTGTTTTCCAGCCTTTACACAGGTACAAGATACACAACGACCTCTTTTGTTACAACCACAACATCTAGGACCGCCAGCCGCCATTATCTACATTGGTACGCTGGTACATGTACATTGGTATAGCCTAGTAATTTTAGTCGTCTCAGTGATAACCTCGGTGATAACGGGTGCAGCAACAAGAGTGAACAAGTGCTTTTCTCTTCTCACGGGAATAATAAAGTAAAACTAAGAGTGCTTAACAGCTATACAAGCAAATCATGTCTCTAGATCCTTTTAAAGTAATAACAAGAAGGCCTTTTGTTAGTGGATGAGTCTTCTTGCGCCACGCCTGCCACTTTAACATAGAATATGAAAAAACTACCATAACCAATTGCATTAAGTAGCATTCAAGAAGCTCCAAGTATCTAGTGAAGTCCCATCCATGAACCAGAAAGACGTTAGCAGGCTTTGTAGTGAAGCTTCCTATCAATCCACCATTGCTGAGCTGCCGTTGCTATGGTAATTCCAATGAATATCATTAAATTAATGCGACCGGAAGTCCCATTGCAATAGCTGGACATGGTGGTTTAGTGGTACAGTGTATAACGGATAATATTGGCTAAGTGGTCTATAGCCATTGTACATGTATAAAGGTGTCCTTATTATAGATGCTACACTGATTCATGATCATTATTAATTTATTATTCTTTTAGGATACAAACTTATCGTAAAGTGGCTCCAATGAAGAATCACAGACGAGACATATACACTAGCACTCTGAGGTACTATAGGAACGCATTCACTGGTAAGACTGGTAGTGGGCGGGGCTTTAATTCATGACCATACCCACTAGACGCAGACAAGCAGATGGCTATTAATGTGTTCCTTGGAGTGTTTGTACCAAAAGAAGGAGAAGCCAATGTATGGGAACTATCAACTGATTATTATCTACACCATAGGACAGCTAGGGAACCGCAATCACCGAAACTGTTTAAGAGGTGGGTGGGGCAGTACATGTACATGTATGTGTATACATGTATTTGATAAAGTAACTGTACATGTACATGTATGTTCGATAGATTAGGTTGTATTGTAGTAGGTTCTATAATAATAATATTAGATTCTTATTTCTATTACTAACACAACCAATAATTATAATGTAGCTAGTGAAATATTTTGTGTAGCATATTTTCCAAAATAATAAATTATAGTTTGTTCTTAATAATTGGAGTATGATGTATTTATATTCACTTTTAGTCCTACCAAATGGTGGAAAGATGAACTGATATCATCACTACCTTTACCACAATATGAAGGACAAGGTTTGACACACACACACACACACACACACACACACACACACACACACACACACACACACACACACACACACACACACACACACACACACACACACACACA